CTTTCCTCCTTCCTTCCCCCCTTCCTCCTCTCCTACATTCCCTCCTTTCTTTTCTCCTTCTCTCCTTCCTTTCCTCCTTCCTTCCCCCCTTCCTCCTCTCCTACATTCCCTCCTTTCTTCTCTCCTTCTCTCCTTCCTTTCCTCCTTCCTTCCCCCCTTCCTCCTCTCCTACATTCCCTCCTTTCTTCTCTCCTTCTCTCCTTCCTTTCCTCCTTCCTTCCCCCCTTCCTCCTCTCCTACATTCCCTCCTTTCTTCTCTCCTTCTCTCCTTCCTTCCCTCCAGCCATCTTAAAGCATACTGGATGGGGAATTCTGGGAGTTGAAGTCCACCCTTCTTAAAGCATACTGGATGGGGACTTAAGCACAGTACACAAAATTGTCTGCTACCACATCTTACCTGTCAACGAGTTCTTCAGCTTCAACCTCAATAACACACGGGCAAACAATCGATACAAACTCAAGGTCAACCGCTCCAAACTCGATTGCAGAAAATACGACTTCACCAACAGAGGGGTCAACGCCTGGAATGCTCTACCTGACTCCATTGTTACATCCTCAAACCCCCCCACAGCTTCAACCTCAAACTGTCCACCATGGACCTCACCCCATTCCTAAAAGGCAGCCTGCCTTCCGTCCCTATCCTACTGTCCCCATTTATTTGTACCCATTTCCTTTATTCATGCCCACGTTTATAGTTATATCTCTTATCTCATACATGTCTGACAAACCCAAAAAATAAATATAAATAAATAAATAAACAGGTTCCCGTTGTGTTGTTCCAGAGTTCTCTACCTGAGGTAGCTTCCAAAATACATCACAACATTGTGATGGCGACAATCCCTGAGCGTAGTGATTTCTTGCTGAATGGATCCGATGTCATCTCCTACGATGGGAGATCCAAGGGAGAAAACATGTCAGCCTCTTGCCTTGGGAGGGTCTGCTTTCAAACTAGGTCACCCCTGACAGAACAGCAGGGTCCTACGTTCGAGGGACCTTGGAGGGTCATCTAGCCCAACTCCTGGCTAAAGCAGGAAACTCTACACCAGGGATGGTGAACCTTTTCAGCACCAAGGGCCCAAACCAGAACGTGCGTGCATGTCTGTGCATGTGTAGGAGCACCGAAGACCAGCTGGTCAGTACATGCATGCCTGCTTCTATGGGCCTTTTTCAGGTCGTTTTTTGGACTGAAAATGGCCCGGAAAATGGCCCAAAAACTGCTGGAAAACTGCCTGGTTTTTGGCTGTTTTCAGGCCATTTTCTGGCACTCCGCAATGTCCAGCTGGCAGGCGCGCATGCCCACAGAGAGGGCTCTGCCATAGGTTCCCCATTCACAGCCCTATACCATTCTGTCTGTTTGTCTGTCTCTCTATATCTATCTATCTATCTATCTATCTATCTATCATCTATCTATCATCTATCACTCTCCATCTCTATCTATAACTATCTATCTATTTATATCTCTATCTCTCTCACTATCTATATCTATTTATATCTCTATATCTATCTATCTATCTATCTATCTATCTATCATCTATCTATCATCTATCACTCTCCATCTCTATCTATAACTATCTATCTATTTATATC